ACAGCACTCAACAGGAGATGTTTGATGAAGGCAGACCGTTCCCATGCAGCCATCCTTCATGTCATTCTTTTCATTCTTCTGAGAGCGGTTATTGCGAAAGGCACCGCTGGTCGGGCCTTTTCAAGAGGATTTGTGTTGCCGGAAATGCTTGGCGCCAGAATCTGGAGCTTAGTGTGCTGATTCTTGCACAAGCAGTGGCAGAGGTAGAGAGCCGATTTTTGTTGGTTCTTCTGGTTCTCGGCCTGTTGCCCGTTGCAAGTTATAGCTTTTCTCAGTCAACAGGAGTGTCTGGCACGTTGATTTTTATGATTGTTATCTCAATAGCAATTGTCAGCATTGTTTACACCACAGCTCGGCTCAACAGAATGCACACACTGTCAAGGAAGCTTGAATGAAGTTGAATCGGAAGCTTTGTATGCAAAGAATTTGCAGAATGACATGTCCAGGCTTTTTGGTGATTGGGGTAGAGACGATATTGCCCAGCCTCAAGTCACAAGCTTGACGGAACACTTCGTCGAAGCCAGAAAGCATCTTGATGACTTCGACAAGAATCTGTGCCTTCCACTGCGAGAGTTCTTGGAGGAGCAGCCTGGTTCCATATCTCGGCAAGCTTTGCGGCCCGTACTGATGACAGTGCCAGTGGCACAAGAGGCTGTCGTGCGAGAAGGTGGATGGGACAAAATCTTAGATCTCTTGTATTGCGATGTAATCTTCGATGATTGGGAAAGAATGCTCAGTGCGTGGTCCTTTCTCAAAACCAGAGCAGAGCATGACGAGTTGAGAGAAATCAAGATCGTGCGTACTCGCGATTCTTTTGCTTCAGTCCAAGCTGGTGTCAGATGTGCCGAGATGGTGGTCAAGATCAACCACTATTTAGCCACGATCCGTTTCCGTGAAGCCTCCTTGACAAAGCTGGAAAATCAAGTGGATGATGTGCACCACTTGGCAGAACAGGTGGGACTTCTGGCAGGCGGTTTGCAGGTAGATCCTTTGCTTATGTCTGGGCGACCAGCACAGCAATCACGATTGGTAGTCGTAGTTGTTGCTTTGCTTCGGATCAGCTCATTACTTGCAGCAGTGTACTTTGGGGGGCAATACTTTGTGCGGTACAGCCCACCTTTCATCCGTTCCAAGCTTCCACAATTGATCCGAGATGCATTTGCGCTCAAGCAGACAGTTGAGCCCAGCGATGGGACATTGCCGGAGGCTGTCGCTGCTGATTCTGGAGGATGGTTGGAGGAGAGCCTTTCGCAGCTGTTGCCCTCCATTGTTTTCTCTTTGCCATACCTGGCCTTGATCATCGTCCTCCTGAGCGACCTGCGCCGGTGTCGGTCAGCCAATCTCAAGTTGAGGCCGCTGAAACCCACCCAGCTGCTCTACGAGAAGTATTTTGGCATTGAAGGCAAGCTCTACGGCTTCAAAGTTGCAATGCTGCAGTTATTCACAGTGATGCTGCAGGCTTTCGGAAAGCTCCAAATCATGGGTGGCCTTGTGTCATTTGCATTTCATTCAGCTCCGAAACATTCAGATGCGTTTGAAGGATGTTTTTGGGCTTTTGTGGGTTTCCTCTGTTTGAACAGCATCTATCCAACCATTTTGTTGGGTTTACCCACTGTGAAGTGGGTGCGCCGTGGCGCTGCGATGATGGATGCAGTCCTTGATATTGCTTACACCAGCACATACCTCATCATCACCTTGCTGGCCATCCACGAACTACAGCTGGGCCAAGCCATTTCAGGAAATTTTGGGGATGAGGCTTCGGTGAACTTCCAAGCAGAATTGGACCCGGCATTTGCATTCCCAGCCAACTTTTTTGGTTTCTTTGCTGTCTACTATTCACTTGCACATGTTTGCACTGTTTGCCGTGCCTTGGAGCGAAGCGATCGATCGACCTACTGGAAGAATTTGCAAAGTTTACCGAACTCTGCTTCCCGGTCGCTGCTGAGCCCATCGAGATTTTCTTGCTCAAAGAGATACCGGATTTGTTCCAAAGCCTTGCATTTTTGCTGCATTGGTTTCGTTTTATGTTGTTTCTGCAATTTTCAATCCATCGTGGTTCCGCAACCTGTTGACACAATTTATCATGTGAGTATCTCGAATCCCCTCAACATATTTGTACAGAGGAGGCGTCTTGTTGTTCTCAGCTTTACTGTACTTGCTGCACCCTTTTGTGCGTCCTAAAGCATACACCACTTCTAAAGTTGTTGTTCCCCAGCATCAACAGCTTTGCAATCTCAGCCAAGGGGGTTCCAGGGCTTTTGAAAGGTTCCTTCTTAGGAGTTTCACAGGTCCAGGATTCCGAGGTGCATTCCAAGTATTTCAGGGTTTCCAGAGTTCCACAGTTGCAAGGTGCTGTCGGATGGCATAGTTCCAGGAGTCCCAGCAAAGGCATTCGCGAAGTAAAAAAAATGGATACCTATATGATACTAGTACCTATATATTTTCAATGTCAATCCCCTTGAAATTTGGTTTCTGGAATGGCCACCTCCCTGTCATTCCATCGGGCTTTGATGGATGAACTTGAGTCTTTGTTTCTCCTGGCAACGGCTGCTTAGGTATTCGCCCTGTTTGCTTGTCACGATCATTGCTCTATTGCTTTCAACGCACTTCTACCCGATTGACACGACTGATTTTGGATGCTTTCCGTGCCGCTGTCTGCAAAAAGAAGATGGTGCAAAACACCTTGCGAGCTGCAACCTTGTAGGCGTTCTTCGCCTCAAAGATGTGAGTTTGAGCAAGCAAGGCATCACAAGTATTGCGAAGGATGCCTTCACTTCTTCACGGAGTTTGCAACGGTTATCGCTCTCTGGCAATCGGTTGTTTGTTTTGCCTGAGAAGGTGTTCGCCCCTTTGGACAGCTTGCAATTGCTGGACTTGGGCCGCTTGGGTTTGAAGCACTTAGAGTCTGACACATTTGCTGGGTTGTCAAGTTTGAGAATCTTGTCCCTCAGCCAAAATCGTTTGAACCTATTGCCAAAAGACTTGCTGCACCCCATGCCAGCTCTGCAGCAATTGTTGCTGGGGGGTAAATCTGATGACAACGGCAATCGCATCGTTGATGGAAACGAGCTGAGCGTACTCCCGCAAGAGCTTTTGCAGCACAGCCCCATGCTACAAGTTCTCGATCTGCGCGAAAACAAGTTGACCTCGCTGCCAAATCACATCTTTGACAAGACTCCTTTGTTGCGGACCCTCGACCTTGCCTCAAACAAGCTGACTGAATTGCCAGTCAAAATCTTTTCAGGGCTCAACAAACTCCAGGAGCTGGACCTGAGTTTCAACTCGCTCAGTGAGCTACCTGCTGAAGTCTTTTCCGGGCTCAGCAGCTTGCAGGACCTTGTCTTGGCTTACAACAAGCTCCGTGGGTTGCCTGCTAATGTCTTTTCAGGGCTCAGCAGCTTGCAGGAGCTTAACTTGTACAAAAATGAGCTCAGTGAGTTGACTGCTGAAACCTTTTCTGGGCTTGGCAACTTGCAGAAGCTCAACCTGGGGGACAACTCGCTCACTCGGTTTCATGCTGGAGTCTTTTCAGGACTCAGCAACTTGCAGGAGCTTGTCCTGTGGTCGAACTTGCTCAGTGAGATGCCTGCTGAAGTCTTCTCAGGGCTCAACAAATTGCAGGAGCTCGACTTGAGCAGCAACGAACTCATTGAGTTGACTGCTGAAGGGTTTGCAGGGCTCGGCAACTTGCAGAAGCTCAACCTGGATGACAACACGCTCAGTGTGTTGACTGCCAAAGTCTTTGCAAAGCTCAGCAACTTGAAGGAACTGGACCTGGGTCACAACTCGCTCAGTGAGCTACCTGCTGAAGTCTTTTCCGGGCTCGGCAGGTTGCAGGAGCTCGACCTGAGTCACAACTCGCTCAGTGAGTTGACGGCTGAAGTGTTTGCAGGGCTCGGCAACTTGCAGAAGCTCAACCTGGGGTACAACTCGCTCACTCGGTTTCATGCTGGAGTCTTTTCAGGACTCAGCAACTTGCAGGAGCTTGACCTGTGGTCGAACTTGCTCAGTGAGATGCCTGCTGAAGTCTTCTCAGGGCTCAGAATTTTGCAAGATCTCAACCTGGGGACCAACAAGCTCGGCGAGTTGCCTGCTGAAGCGTGGCCCGATCTGTTCGCAGGTCTTAGCAACTTGCGGAAGCTGAACCTGTGGTACAACAAACTCTGGGAATTGCCTTCTAAAGTCTGGTCCAAGTCGTTTGCAGGGCTCAGCAACTTGCAGGTGCTTGCCTTGGGCGGAAACGATCTCAGTGAGTTGCATGCTGGAGTCTTTTCCGGGCTCGGCAACCTGCAGAAGCTTGTCCTGGCGAAGAACAGGCTCAATGAGTTGCCTGTTGAGATCTGGGCCGATCTGTTTACGGGGCTCGACAACTTGAGGTTGCTCAACCTGCAGTACAACAAACTCGGCGAGTTGCCTTCTAAAGTCTGGTCCAAATCGTTTGCAGGGCTCAGCCACTTGCAGGAGCTTCACTTGGGCAGAAACGATCTCAGCAAGTTGTATGCTGAAGCCTTTTCCACGCTGGGAAACCTGCAAAAACTTGCCCTCGATGGGTGCAGGCTGAACGAGTTGCCTCTGGAAGTCTGGGGTAGTCTGTTTACGGGGCTTGACAACTTGCATGTGCTCTTGCTGAGTGACAACAGACTCGGCGAGTTACCCCCTGAAGTCTGGGCCAATATGTTTGCAGGTCTGAGCAACTTGCGGGAGCTGAACCTGAGGTCCAACAGGCTCGGCGAGTTACCCCCTGAAGTCTGGGCCAATATGTTTTCAGGGCTCGGAAGCCTGCAAGAGCTTCGGCTGAACGGCAATGATCTCAGTGAGTTGCATGCCGAAGTATGGACCAATATGCTGTCAGAACTCGACCAGTTGCAGAAGCTTGTGCTGTACCGTACCGGTCTTAACGAGTTGCCTGCAATTTGTTCAAAAGTAAAGTGCTTCAACTGAGGTATCCTGCGGTTACGCGCTGTCTGTTTCTGTGAAAATGATGGGATGCTCTGCCTGAGGCTGGGATTTCGCAGTGATGAGGCGAAAAAAGAGCCTCCGCAGTCAAGTGACTAGATTCCGATTCCCCATTTCAGTCCCTTTTCAACATCTTTCAACGATTCCTTCCAACAAAGTAGTTTCATGTTGTGTTTGCGGATTCTGATGTTTTTTCATGATTTTGCGAGTCGTTTTGGGAGCGCATGCATTGGGTGACCGAGGTCCAGTGTACCCACTGCAGTGGCACCTGGCGCGCTGCAACTGGAGAGACGTTCTGAAAAGACCGAGGCACCAGAATTCAGTCCAGTCGAAGTCGCCAACGTTATCAAAGTCACCTTGAAACTTTCTGTTCCGATCTTTGGGTGGGGTTGTTGGCGTGGGATGTCTTCCCCAGTATTTCCAGCTTGCCTTTGCTTGGAAACTCGTTTTCAGTCTTTGTAGGGTTCGAGATTGGCCCTCTTGTGGTGAAAGACATCCAACAAGAAAAAGACAGAGTCTGAAGGGAGCAGAACAGAAGTTGGTTCTTTGAAAAACGTGGAAAGAAGCCGCTGAGACAGGTGTAACCACTGTGTCGACACGCCGAGAATTTTTGAGTTTCGACAAGTTGTGGGTGTATGGCCATTCCTTTTAAGAACATGACAACATCATACAACATCATACAACATAACACCATCTAACACCATTTGAATCCAGAATCTGGCGGGGGTCGATCCGCTGGGTCAAAATCCATGGCTTAGCTTGGAGAAAGGTGCTTGGACTTGACCCTGAAAGATCTCAAATGTTTTGGATTGTTTTGGTGCATTACTTGAGGAAAGCGTTGCAGATAGTGACAATTGCCAGGGTTTCTACCATGGAGGACGATGCAGCAAGGGTTCATCCATGTTATCAATGCCAGAACTTGTATGGAAGTTCAACAATGTTCAACACCTTCAAGCTGAGATGGTTTCCATTGTTTGCGGTCTTTACACCACTCAATGTGTGGACCGATGAAGGACAACCATGTGAAAAAATCCGCAAGCTGCTCGATATTACCGGCTTTTCGCATGTATACACACCATTACACAACTGTGGGGATTCCGATATTTAGACACCTTATCCAAAAGTCCATAGTTTGCTGGGACTATATCCCCAGTGGAAATGGGCTTCGCACGGGAAAAAGATGTGGGCTTCATCCCAGCGCTGCAGGAAGTTCACTGCAGCGGCTCGAACGCCCAGCACTGCGCAACGAGTTTCGAGAGTCGTGGGGTGAGGATTTAATCAGGGATGAAATTAGTCCGGGGTGAGGACATGGCCAGGGATTTAGAATGATTTAGAGTTGATACCAATTGACATACTACTAGTAACACGAATTTTCATCATGAAAAACAACGAGATTATGACCTTGATTATCATTGGATATCATTGGCAGCAACATTTCTGGAACATCTGGAAGATTGCATACATTCCCATCATCTTTCAAGCACTATGCGGCCCATGGATTTTGGGCAGGTCAACTGCATTGAGAGACAACAATTTTCCGAATTTTCCGTTGAGGCTCGGTATTCCAAGAGAAACCCGGGTCCACCTTCCCTGTCCCAGAGAGATGTTGAGGCCCCCGGTGCAGGTGGCAAGTGCTTCCAACCCCAACAGGTATCCTTTGGTTGTGAAACCTGGTGATAGGAAATCCTGCTTTTACAGTTTCCTATTGAAACATTGGGTTTTCACGGCCAGGCTACGCTATTGGAGGATGTACATGTCAGAAGTTGGATTATAGATGATCATAATATGACTTAACACAGAATTTCTATTTATGAATTTCTTTTGTTTTGTCTCTTTAGGATCCTGTAGAATCCTTTAGGGTTCAGGGGTGAAACGAACTCAATGCCCATCATTTAGCTGTCAGTCGAAGAGCTGCAGGACTTCTCGGCCTTGGTCCTAGACGAGCGCGGAAACCAAGCATGAAATATTCTTGATGACGGATGTTACATCGTCTAGCATATATCTATAGATATATAATAATAATAATATTGTATATAATACATTTGAACATCCAGTGTTGCTATTTGGACATAGCTTGCTTTCGAAGGAGTTCTGCAAAGTGGTTGTGGTTCTTTTCCTTGACCGTGTGGGCCGTGTTTACTGCGTTGGTTCTTGTGTCTCCGTAGCTTCCTTTCAAGACGGACCTGCACTGCAGCTGCATTCTGCGGTACCACTCACCTTGACATGAAACCCTGGCCAGCCTGACCAACAGCCAAATCTCATGTTGCGCAAGAGCAAGTCTTTGATAAACCATCGATATTAAACCTGTGTATTGTTCCAGCACTTTGATATTAAACTGACTACTTCGAGCACCGCTGCTGACATTATTTTACTGCTACGTGAGCGTTTGCCAGACAGCCCATGGCATGGGAACAAGTTGCTGTCAAGTGGGGTCTGCCAGCTACAGTGCGATGACATTGTGGAGGCAACCCGCCACAGCACTTTAGTCTTGACAAACTACTCAGAGATCACCAACCAGGAGAAAAACCTGCAGCTTTGTTTCTTTTTCAATAGGTAATGCAGACCATGCCAAGTAGCAAATCACGATTAGAAACTAAATGCCAACAAGTACCAATTGCGACAAGTGCAGCAGTGTGATGGACCGATTCATTTTTTTGTTTTGGGATTCAGTGGTTTAAACGCATTTCGAACGTGGCTTGTGAGATCTACTTGATAGTGGGGGAACAGTCGGCCACTGAACAGGCGCCTTTGTGCATTGAGATCATGTGAAACAAAGGCAATATAACCGATAGGATCAAATCGAATAAAGAGAAACCGTATTTAAAAGTCAATCTTTTGAAATTCAGAGATTGCAGGCCTATGATTCCCATGATTGCACCTTTTGAGGGTACTGCACAATGCTTTTTGAATTCCATTCCAATTTCATTTGCTGCAATTGTTGGTGGACCCGTCGAAGGAGGCTTTCTGCATCGAAGATACTGCAGAGCGAGGGATCACTCGCGAGCAATTGGCGAAGATCGTTGCTTTCATCTCCAAAATGGCTGACAGATGGTGCGAGACTTTCGGAGAACAGTGTGGGACAAGGCTGCAGTTTGAGACCTTCAACTTGTATCATGCGAATCACTGGATCATCAAACCAGCCACCGAAGCCTGGATCTGTTGATGATGTGACAAAACATTTTCCAATTTGAGGAATCTCCTGTTTTTCTTTTTTAATTGGCCCCATTATGCAGAATCCCAGGACGGCTATGCGAAAAAGGGCTGCAGCATGGTAGAGCTCATGGCGATTCAAGTTCAGAGACCTCATTGGTTTGTGTCACATGCTTGGATCGAGCCTTGGATAGGCAAACCCTCAAGGTTGTTTGAGATCGTGTTATTGCATTGTCTGTCAGCAACAAGTTACTTTTTCCGCTAATAATTCACATTCCCCTAGAAGCCTTGGCTGAGTTTTGGACTTGTTTATTTCGGACCCTCAATAGGATGCTGTATCAAAAAGAAATGAACATCGAGCGTAATGATAGATGAAAGTCAATCCATCGCTTTGAAGCGCGTCCAATTTTGTGTTGGGCAGATCTGTGAGGAGCCTGTTTGTAAGTTTCTGGCCTGCTTGGAGCAGCATGCTCTGGTGCGAGAACTCTCAAGCAGTACATTCTATTGGGTCTGTGCATATGCCAATAACCAGCACTGCGTGGAAGAGGATATCAAAAGCAACCCACGCAGCACTTCATTCTACAGAGCTATGCAGATGTCTGAGGGAGTTCTTTTGGTGCTGGATTCAGCTGGAACGCCTTTCGAGCAGCTATCTGGACAACCTCCGCGCGGTGGCTGCGGGTCTATGCATTGCTGATGGGCCTTGGCAGTGCTTAGAAACGAATTGTTCAGATGTGGTGCTTGCAAGTTTCGATTTGCTTCAGAAGATTTGGGCTGTGTCTTCAAAAGAGCGGAACGCATTGATGCATGCCATGCATGGCAATGGTGCAGGAAGCAGAGCAACAGCTCGCAAAAGGAAACAGAAACAAAGCAATAACCAAGCAAATGGCTTCAATTTGCAACAAGCAGGTGAGATTCTCAAACTACTCTCTCAGCTTTTCCAATTGTTGGGACTCGGGGGTGGCGGTGGGAATTTGCTTCAACAGCTCAGTGCTATGATGGGCCATGGCGGGTGTGCCAAACCCAAGAAGACTAAGAACAAGAACAAAAATAAACAGGGCGGTGATGGTGGTCTGGGGGATTACGGCCAAGGGGGTGGTTTTTACCCTTCTTCTCCTCCTACTCAGCCCCCGCAGAATACTTCGAAACCACATCCTAAGCAAAAGGCGGACGTCCAAAAACAGCCACACACAGAGCAGCAGCCCCACAAAACGCCCAAGACCTTTGCTGAAGTGGTTCGAGCCAACACTGCGTTTAAGCCGGTGTGGAGCCTGCGTCAGTCAGACTGGACGGGGCCCATTTTGGGCTTTGATGACTTTTGTGTCGCACTGGATAAGCCTGGAAATATTTCAGCTACAGTGCAAGTGAACTCGGAAGAGCAACTTGAGGAGTTGCAGGTTTTGCTGAAAGGCGATTCCCCTGATATCAAAAGAGAGCTCAACATCACAGCTGTGATGCTAGCGCCGAAAGAGGCCAAGCAGACTGAGGAGGATCGACCTTTGCGGATGGTGCCAGGAAAGATCTCGGGCAAGGTGCAGCCCAGGCAGGCGTTTGTGATCCCACTTCAAGGCCAAGGGCCATCACTCAAGAGAGCTGCCGTTGTGTCAGCGGCTCCTGCAGTGCAGCCTGAAACTGTTGTAGTGAGATTAAGTGTTGATGCAAAATATTTGCAAAACAACGAGTGGCAGAGCATCCAGGCCAAGCCAAAGGCAAACGCGCAGGCTTGGTTGCATCGGCATGTTCCAGAGCATGTTGCGGACAAAGTCTTTGATATGTGGGCGTTTCAGCAAGAAAGCATGAACGGCGGAGGCAAGCCAGTGATCACTGGCCTTTTACGCATTGAGCGAAGTGCTGCCAAAGCTCTTCTAGGCTGCTCAGGCAAAAGTACCTGGTTTGTGGAGCCTTTGCAATGGAACAACTCCGTGATTGAATCTTGCGATGTTGAGTGGGTCAAGAAAAGTTCGGAACTTGATGGGCCCAGCTACTTGCAGAAGGTTCAGTCCATGGCTGGTGACCTGGGCATTGCCCGGGGATGGAATGGACTGGGAGTACGTAAGCCCAGGAGCGCCGAGCCTCCTCCTAAGGCCAGAGCTTGGCGCGTCACTGGTGTTCCGCGAGATTGGGCGGCTAGTACCTTGACTCAGGAACTTACACGTGCTGGCCTGACTGAACTCAAGGTGTTGTCCCGGAAAACTGTGGGCAAACAAGTGGAATGGTGGGTGCAGGCCAATGCTCAAAAGGATATGGATTTCATTGAAATTCAGGCTGGCGAAAAAGTCATTGTAGCTGTTGAAGCTCCAAGACAAAGACGGCAGAGAACACATACCATGAAACTGGCTAGCAATGGAAGGGTCAGTTATAACCAGAGCCATGCATGGCAGGCGATTGCCACGCCTGCTCCTCGCAAATCTTTCTACATGGGAACGCCAGTCAAAAAGCCAGTGACTATTGCAGGGGCTGAGAAGGTTCCTGCTGAGAATTTGGACGAGGACAAGTCGGACGCAAAGATGGACAATGCTGGAGAACCCGCTGGGGCAAAAAGAACTGTCAGTACTCCTGAAAAGAGTCCTCCGGCCAAGCGTGTTGCGGGGGAACCCAAGCCCCCTCACAATATGAAGGTGAAAAGCATCCCTGCTGACGGCAACTGTCTTTTTGAAGCCCTTGCTCAAAGTTTGGGCGGAAAAACAGCCAGGAATGTGCGTGCAAGCGTTGTCACCCACCTGACCAAGCACCAGGGTCGTTACAAGCCCTGGTGGGACGGCAAGGAGCCAACAGAGGCGGAGAATGCTTGCGAATCATGGGAGAGCTATCTCACCATGCTCTCAAAGATTGGTGCTTGGGGCAGTGCTCTTGAAGTTTCTGCTGCGGCTGTGCACTACGATCGCCCGATCATTGTCTTCCAGCCTCGTGGGGTTCCGGAGATTTACAATGGTCGTGGCAAGGGTGGTGCTCACATCGCTTTGTGGTTTCGTTCAAAGCACTATGAACGACTTGAAGGTGCTTTCCCTCCTGAAGTTTTGACTCAGGCCGCAAATGGTCCAATGCAGGGCAACAGAGGTGGAGGATCGGAATGTGGCGCTACTTCAGTTGGTGCCACCAGATTGTCAGCTTTGCCGTCACTGGTTCATAGCAACAATAAACGTGGAAGGTGTGCTAGCCCCGCGCCCGCCTCTACTTTGTCAGAGCAGCGCAAGAATTCTTCTTCCCCTGCGGCTGCTACTTCGGGTCGGGGTCCGTGCACGCCACGTGCAGCCAGTGAAGGACAAGACGCAGCCAGTGCTTCGTCCAGACGCACTAAGCGTACTGAGTGGACATGCCCTTTGTGTGACTTTTCCACTGGGGTGTGCAAAGGATGGGTTGACAAGAAGAGAGCTCATATCAATGCTTGGCATCCCGATGAGAAGGAACAGTTGAAAATCGGCTTCAAAAACACGTTGCCTGCGCTGTCTGCGGTCAAGAAGGGAGGAGTCTATAGCTGGAAGTGTCCTGTTTGCAAACTTGGCTTGTCCGCTGATCACAACCTCAAACCTGGCCAAGTGTACAGCGTCATCCGCAAGCATAGGGAAGACAAACATCCTCAGGCGGATGCCAAGCTCTTCCACAAGGACAGCAGCTTCAGACGGGAGAATGCTAGCAAAGCCACGCGCCAGGTGCGTGCAGCTGCAGTGGCTCGAAGGTTGCTTGGCTTCAAGCGTGGCGATGCTGGAGCACATGACCCCACTTTCGTTACCATTCCAGCCACAGGAAATGGCAAACAGAAAAGAGTTGGAATGTCTTACGTCATTTGCAAAACTTGTGGCAGTATGGCTTTGACAGCGAAGCGTTTGGCAAAGATTGCTTGTGAACAGTATGCTTCCAGCAAAGGGCCCGAACGAAAGCAGTTGGTGGAAAGATTGCGTGCGTGCCTCAAAAATGCAGACATCAGCGATGACCTCAAGAAGGGTGCCCGCACAGTTTTGGAAATCATCGACTCTGGAGCATTTCGCACCACTGATACTGCAGCAGACAGCACGCATCAGATTGAGGCCATTGTGTGGCCTGCCAATTTTACGGTGCGTTTTGCTTGTGTGCATTGCAAGCGTTGTGTCAACAACATCAGACGGCTTACAGGAAGTCAGTGTCCTCGTAAAATGGTTTGGACTAAGTTTCGAAAGGGCCAGAGGGATATTTTGGTGCCTCTTGCGGCTCAGGCTCCAAGTGCCAGACAGCGAGCTGCTTCGCGAGCTTTGGACATTTTGGGATTGCAGCAGGATGGCGCTGTGGATCAGAACCCATGACGGGCTCTGACAGCACTATGCGGTTGGGGACTATGAATGTACGGTCCTTGGGAGGCCGCTTGGGTGGTGTGCTTGACTTTGCTCAGCTCCAGAATTTACATGTTCTGTGTCTTCAAGAAACTAGAGTTAACAATCACAGCTGGAATGCTGTGACTCGTGCCGTCAAGGCACGCGGGTGGCAACTTTTTCCTGGCCCTCAAGGAAGAAATTCGAAAAATGTAGTGGAAGGTGGTACATTGGTTCTAACAAAGTGGCCTGCTGAGGCCTTGGCCCTTCCTGTCGACATGGTGTCTGTGGAAAGATCCATGGCCGTCAAACTCTATAGACCTCAGCAAAGGCCGTTGATTCTCATCAATGTTTACTTACATGCTTCAGATCGCACAGCTGCCAGCCGTGCGCTGGGTGCGCTGTTCGAGTTTGTTGCTGCTTGTGGTGAAGATACAGTGATCATGGGTGACTTCAATTTGGAAATTCATTGTTGGCCAATTTCTAACGTTTTGGCTACTGGACAGTGGCGGTCCTGTGATGAGCTGGTTTGCGGAGATCGTGTTTTAGGTGGTACACATCGAACTGCTGCAGGTGTTTATACAGGTGTGGTCATTGACTATGGCTTGTGCACTCCTCGGTTAATTATTACTGGTAGGGAGCAACATCTTGGCGTGGCTGACCATGACGCGGTGGTTTACAACTTGCATGTGCCTGGTTCATTATCCACACCGTGGACTCTCCCAGTTGGTGCCCCTTTGCATTCTGAAAAGGTTGCTGAAGCTTCTTGGCTAAGTGCTTGGGAAGAAGTATGTGACGATTTTGGAAATGCATTGAGTACAGGCAACGTGGACTCTGCTTGGACCTTACTTAGCAACTGCGCAGAATCTCTTCTTCTCGCACGTGGCAAAACTGGTCGTGCTATGCGCCAGGGCCCGCAGCAAATTGCCAGTCCTCCGTCTTCAAAAGCGCCTTCTTTGCAAACAGTGAAAGAGCGCAAGCTCAGACGCTTCGCACGAAGAGTGGTGGAGTACCAAAAGGCCCCGTTGCCAGAGTTGGAGAAGAAGTTGGTTCGTGATGGCCCTCATTTACATCATTCTTTGGCTTTTTTCTCTTTGGATGACCCCAGGTTGGTTAGTGCAGTGCTAGAATTGGCAAATGCAGAAGCTACAGCAGCGTCCAAGTTACGCTTGGAGGCGTGGAAGGACAGCGTGCAGGAAAATGCCACCAAACTAGGCAGGTGGGTCAAACAGGTGCCGCCCGCCAGTCCTACTGCAAGTTTTGATGGCCCCATTCTACCTGCAGATAGGGCCAAGTGCGCAGCATTGGATTGGGAGAGGTATTGGAATCCAGGGTCGCTTCCGAATTTGAATCTGGGGGACC